ATGAGGGGAGTCATGTATATTACTGATACACACGTCAAGTTAGAGAGATGAGGGGAGTCATATATATCACTGATACACACGTCGAGTTAGAGAGATGAGGGGAGTCATGTATATTACTGATACACACGTCAAGTTAGCGAAATAAGGGGAGTCATATATGTTACTGATACACACGTCAAGTTAGAGAGATGAAGGTTGTCATATATATCACTGATACACACGTCAAGTTAGAGAGATGAGGGGAGTCATGTATATCACTGATACAAACGTTAAGTTAGTGGGATGAGGGGAGTCATATATATCACTGATACACACGTCAAGTTAGAGAGATGAGGGGAGTCATGTATATCACTGATACACACGTCAAGTTAGAGAGATGAAGGTTGTCATATATATCACTGATACACACGTCAAGTTAGAGAGATGAGGGGAGTCATGTATATTACTGATATACACGTTAAGTTAGAGAGATGAGGGGAGTCATGTATATTTCTGGTACACACGTCATGTAAGAGAGATGAGGGTTGTCATATATATCACTGATACACACGTCAAGTTAGAGAGATGAGTGTTGTCATATATATCACTGATACACACGTCAAGTTAGAGAGAAGAGGTTGTCATATATATCACTGATACACACGTCAAGTTAGAGAGAAGAGGTTGTCATATACATCACTGATACACACGTCAAGTTAAAGAGATGAGGGGAGTCATATATATCACTGATACACACGTCAAGTTAGAGAGAAGAGGTTGTCATATATATCACTGATACACACGTCAAGTTAGAGAGATAAGTGTTGTCATATATATAACTGATACACACGTCAAGTAAGATAGATGAGGGTTGTCATATATATCACTGATACGCACGTCTAGTTAGAGAGATGAGGGGAGTCATATGTATCACTGATCCACACGTCAAGTTAGAGAGATGAGGGGAGTCATGTATATTACTGATACACACGTCAAGTTAGAGAGATGAGTGGAATCATATATATCACAGAAACACAAGTCAAGTTAAATATATGAGGGGAGTCATATATATCACTTAAACACACGTCAAGTTAGAGAGATGAGGGGAGTCATATATATATCACTGATATACACTTCAAGTTAGAGGGATGAGGGGAATCATATGTATCGCTGATACACACGTCAAGTTAGAGAGATGAGGGTTTTCATATATATTACTGATAGACACGTCAAGTTAGAGATATGAGGGGAGTCATTTATACCACTGATACACATGTCAAGTTAGAGAGAGGAGGTGGTCATATATATCACTGATACACACGTCAAGTTAGAGAGAAGAGGTTGTCATATATATCACTGATACACACGTCAAGCTAGAGAGATGAGTGTTGTCATATATATCACTGATACACACGTCAAGTAAGATAGATGAGGGGAGTCATATGTATCACTGATACACACGTCAAGTTAGAGATATGAGGTGAGTCATGTATATTACTGATATACACGTCAAGTTAGAGAGATGAGGGGAGTCATATATATCACTGATACAAACGTTAAGTTAGTGGAATGAGGCGAGTCATGTATATCACTGATACAAACGTCAAGTTAGAGAGATGAGTGTTGTCATATATATCACTGATACACACGTCAAGTTAGAGAGAAGAGGTTGTCATATATATCACTGATACACACGTCAAGTTAGAGAGAAGAGGTTGTCATATACATCACTGATACACACGTCAAGTTAAAGGGATGAGGGGAGTCATATATAACACAGATACACACGTCAAGTTAGAGATATGAGGGGAGTCATTTATACCACTGATACACACGTCAAGTTAGAGAGAAGAGGTTGTCATATATATCACTGATACACACGTCAAGCTAGAGAGATGAGTGTTGTCATATATATCACTGATACACACGTCAAGTAAGATAGATGAGGGTTGTCATATATATCACTGATACGCACGTCAAGTTAGAGAGATGAGGTGAGTCATATGTATCACTGATACACACGTCAAGTTAGAGAGATGAGGGTTGTCATATATATCACTGATACGCACGTCAAGTTAGAGAGATGAGGTGAGTCATATGTATCACTGATACACACGTCAAGTTAGAGAGATGAGTGGAATCATATATATCACTGAAACACACGTCAAGTTAGATATATGGGGGGAGTCATATATATATCACTTAAACACACGTCAAGTTAGAGAGATGAGGGGAGTCATATATATATCACCGATACACACGTCAAGGTAGAGAGATGAGGGGAGTTACATATATCACTGATACAAACGTCAAGTTAGAGAGATGAGGTGAGTCATGTATATTACTGATACACACGTCAAGTTAGAGAGATGAGGGGAGTCATGTATATTACTGATACACACGTCAAGTTAGAGAGATGAGGGGAGTCATGTATATTACTGATACACACGTCAAGTTAGAGAGATGAGGGGAGTCATGTATATTACTGATACACAAGCCAAGTTAGAGAGATGAGGTGAGTCATGTATATTACTGATACACACGTCAAGTTAGAGAGATGCGGGGAGTCATGTATATTACTGATACACACGTCAAGTTAGAGAGATGAGGGGAGTCATGTATATAACTGATACACACGTCAAGTTAGAGAGATGAGTGGAATCATATATATCACTGAAACACACGTCAAGTTAGATATATGGGGGGAGTCATATATATCACTTAAACACACGTCAAGTTAGAGAGATGAGGGGAGTCATATATATATCACTGATATACACTTCAAGTTAGAGAGATGAGGGGAGTCATGTATATTACTGATACACACGCCAAGTTAGAGAGATGAGGGGAGTCATGTATATTACTGATACACACGTCAAGTGAGAGAGATGAGGGGAGTCATGTATATTACTGATACACACGTCAAGTTAGAGAGATGAGGGGAGTCATGTATATCACTGATACAAACGTCAAGTTAGAGAGATGAGGTGAGTCATGTATATTACTGATACACACGTCAAGTGAGAGAGATGGGGGGAGTCATGTATATTACTGATACACAAGCCAAGTTAGAGAGATGAGGTGAGTCATGTATATTACTGATACACACGTCAAGTTAGAGAGATGAGGGGAGTCATGTATATTACTGATACACACGTCAAGTTAGAGAGATGAGGGGAGTCATGTATATTACTGATACACACGTCAAGTTAGAGAGATGAGTGGAATCATATATATCACTGAAACACACGTCAAGTTAGATATATGGGGGGAGTCATATATATCACTTAAACACACGTCAAGTTAGAGAGATGAGGGGAGTGATATATATATCACTGATATACACTTCAAGTTAGAGAGATGAGGGGAGTCATGTATATTACTGATACACACGCCAAGTTAGAGAGATGAGGGGAGTCATGTATATTACTGATACACACGTCAAGTTAGAGAGATGAGGGGAGTCATGTATATTACTGATACACACGTCAAGTTAGAGAGATGAGGGGAGTCATGTATATTACTGATACACACGTCAAGTTAGAGAGATGAGGGGAGTCATGTATATTACTGATACACACGTCAAGTTAGAGAGATGCGGGGAGTCATGTATATTACTGATACACACGTCAAGTTAGAGAGACGAGAATAATTATATATATCACTGATGCACACGTGAAGGTGAATCACGTAATGAATGAGAAGACGTTAACCGAAACGCTCGAGATACCGCATCGATTTTACGGGACCAGGTGAGCCACTCCGGTACATTCTTCACTGGGCGTTTTCAAGGCTAATAACTAGAGCCGATCGATCAAAAACATATTTCATAGTTATATTAAAATAATCGAGACTTAAATTTCATATTTTAAAAAAAATAAACACTCAGATAATTTGGATCTAAATCAATACTCAATTTTAATGCAGGAAACGATCAATCTTTGCCGGACGGACCGTACATCTCACGACCAAGATATTTTGCAGGCACATCAGTTGTTTCCCCTTTCAACGGGTGGAGTTTATTCAGATCAGTATAATTAATGTATTTTGGCCTTTAATTACTTGATGTTATGTTAACATGAAGACTTCAATTATTTAAACATACTATCTCAGGACAATTAAGAAACTCATTATGAAAAAACAACATTACCCCGTTTAAACTTGAATGTATTAAGTCATACTAAGACATAATTATGTAAACTCATGAAAGTAATATATGTATTTCTGTTTTTACTTAACTATTTTGATTTCTTATAGGGAGCAGACAAAATAATGAAGATAAAGATGGTGGGCACAATTCATCCTTATTTGGTATTTTTTTCAGAAACAATATTTTTTTTTTCAACAGTGATGTACATATAAATGCATCTTAAAATATGTTTTGTATTTTAGATAAGAAGAGATGATCTCAAAATTAATGTCATAATATAAGTTTTAGATGGAAACCCAATATTACAGTTAATTATTAAATTAGTAATACTCGGCAAAGCCTCTTTCTAATCGTGACAGATTAATCGTGTGAAGATTTTTCGGTAACAACCGAACACAGTGGTTAATCCTCTGTATCATCCAACATCATTCTTCCAACTTTTTCAATTTGTAGTCAGTAATTAGCAGTGTCTTCAGTGTAAAACGTGCTGCTTACAGCTTCAGGAGCAGAGTCATTAGTGGTGTCATTTGATTGTGACGTCATGGTAACCAGTGACGTCACAATGGTGGCAAAGCACCGTGATGTAATTTCATTGCAGCGATATCTACAGTGTAGATATCTCTTGATCTAATCCAAGCGATATTTCCCTTTGGGAGCCAGTTTTTGATGATAAATAACTGATACACATGTCAAGTTAGAGAGACATGAAAGAGAGAGATATAGAAATCATATATATCGCTGATATATACATTAAACTAGAGATGCTTGGGGGATTCAAATATACCCCCGACATACACGCTTATTTAGACAGGAGATTCTAAACTAAAGATGAGGTAAGACAACGAGACCCTGACAAATAATGCAGCCTTACCACCCCCATGACACATCTGGAAGCAGGTGACAGCGACGAGGAACAGCACTGTACAGACAGAAGACTTCATGATGCTGGGCGATACAGCACCCACGACCACAGCTGCTTTATACACCGGATGACGTGACAGCCAGGACCCCCATGGTTGTTTGCATATCACAGTCAATCAACGGGTAATTGAAATACGAAAAATTTTAGTTACATGTAATTAAATTTTCTGATTCACCAGATACAATTACTACCCTTGTTGTGAATGTAGCTGCCGTGATATGCAGTAGAGTTGATGTGTTATACAGTATAGTTATTGTGTTATACAGTATAGCTGCCGTGATATACAGTAGAGTTGATGTGTTATACAGTATAGTTATTGTGTTATACAGTATAGCTGCCGTGATATACAGTAGAGTTGATGTGTTATACAGTATAGTTATTGTGTTAAACAGTATAGCTGCCGTGATATACAGTAGAGTTGATGTGTTATACAGTATAGTTATTGTGTTATACAGTATAGCTGCCGTGGAATACAGTAGAGTTGATGTGTTATACAGTATAGGTATTGTGTTATACAGTGTTGCTGCCGTTGTATACAGTAGAGTTGATGTGTTATACAGTATAGTTATTGTGTTATACAGTATAGCTGCCGTGGCATACAGTAGAGTTGAGGTATTATACAGTATAGTTATTGTGTTATACAGTATAGTTAATGTGTTATGCAGTATAGTTGATGTGTTATACAGTATAGTTGATGTGTTATACAGTTTAATTGAGGTATTATACAGTATACTTAATGCGTTATTCAGTATAGTTTATGTGTTATACAGTAAAGTTAATGTGTCATGCAGTATAGTTGATGTGTCATACAGTAGAGTTGAGGTGTTATTCAGTATGGTTAATGTGTTATACAGTATAATTAATGTGTTATGCAGAATAGTTAAAGTGCTATACAGTAGAGTTGAGGGATTACACAGTATAGTTAATGTGTAATACAGTATAGTTAATGTATTCCACAGTATAGTTAATGTGTTATACAGTATAGTTAATGTGTTATACAGTAGAGTTGATGTGTTATACAGTATAGTTAATGTGTTATACAGTAGAGTTGAGGTATTATACAGTATAGTTAATGTGTTAGTCAGTATAGTTAATGTGTTATACAGTAACGTTAATGTGTTTTACAGAAGAGTTGATGTGTTAAAGAGTAGAGTTGATGTGTTATGCAGTATAGTTGATGTGTTATACAGTATAGTTGATGTGTTATACAGTGTAATTGATGGTGTTATACAGTAGAGTTGATGTGTTATACAGTATAGTTGATGTGTTATACACTGTTGTTGACGTGTTATAAGTATAGTTGGTGTGTTATACAGTATAGTTGGTGTGTTATATAGTAGAGTTGATGTGTTATACAGTATAGTTGATGTGTTATACACTGTTGTTGACGTGTTATAAGTATAGTTGGTGTGTTATACAGTATAGTTGAAGTGTTAGGCAGTATAGTTGAAGTGTAATGCAGTATAGTTAATGTTTTATACAGTTAAGTTGATGTGTTATACAGTGTAGTTGATGGTGTTATACAATATAGTTGATGTGTTATACAGTATAGTTGACGTGTTATAAGTATAGTTGGTGTGTTATACAGTATAGTTGAAGTGTTAGGCAGTATAGTTGAAGTGTAATGCAGTATAGTTAATGTTTTATACAGTTAAGTTGATGTGTTATACAGTGTAGTTGATGGTGTTATACAATATAGTTGATGTGTTATACAGTATAGTTGACGTGTTATAAGTATAGTTGGTGTGTTATACAGTATAGTTGAAGTGTTATACAGTGTAATAGATGGTGTTATACAGTAGAGTTGGTGTGTTATACAGTATAGTTGATGTGTTATACAGTGTAATAGATGGTGTTATACAGTAGAGTTGGTGTGTTATACACTATAGTTGATGTGTTATACAGTGTAATAGATGGTGTTATACAGTAGAGTTGGTGTGTTATACATTATAGTTGATGTGTTATACAGTGTAATAGATGGTGTTATACAGTAGAGTTGGTGTGTTATAGAGTATAGTTGATGTGTTATACAGTGTAATAGATGGTGTTATACAGTAGAGTTGGTGTGTTATACAGTATAGTTGAAGTGTAATGCAGTATAGTTAATGTTTTATACAGTTAAGTTGATGTGTTATACAGTGTAGTTGATGGTGTTATACAATATAGTTGATGTGTTATACAGTGTAGTTGATGTGTTATAAGTATAGTTGGTGTGTTATACAGTTGAGTTGATGTGTTATGGAGTGTAATTGATGTATGATACAGTGTAGTTGATGTGTTATTCAGTATAGTTGAAGTGTTATTCAGTATAGTTGATGTGTTATACAGTTGAGTTGATGTGTTATGGAGTGTAGTTGATGTGTTATACAGTGTAGTTGATGTGTTATACAGTATAGTTGATGTGTTATCCAGTTGAGTTGATGTGTTATGGAGTGTAGTTGATGTGTTATACAGTAGATTCGATGTGTTATTAGGTATAGTTGATGTGTTTAACAACATAGTTGATGTGTCGACAGTATAGTTAACGCCGCACTCAGCAATATTCAAGTTATATGGCAGCGGTCTGTAAATCGAGTTTAGCATTACCCGCCGGCCCGGTCCGACTTTTCTTTGCCTGACAATCCCCCGCTCATAGGTGGCCACGTGGAGTTATACATCCGTGCAGCAGATGCCAAGCTGCTCTGTATGACTGAAGTGCACAGCAGGGATGCAGGATGCAGCTGGATGCATGACGAACAGCCGGTATTATAAATGATGAAGGGTCCTTGCTTGTGAAACGTCGCCGGATCCTGTTCGTACAAAGAAGCCTTATGAATTAATTAAAGGAACGACTGAAAATATTTATTTTCCACAGGAAGCGAACATAATGTTTGTACGGGACCCGTCAGTTACAGTTAACCTTTCAAACAAGGAGAAAAGATTATTGAAAACGAAGCAGCAAACAACGCAGGCCACCTCTCCTTTAGAAGGGGCGGTCGGGTAACCTAGTGGTTTAAACGTTCGCTCGTCACGCCGAAGACCCGGGTTCGATTCCCAACATGTTTGGTGCCCCCGCCGTGATATTGCTGGCATATTGCTAAAAGCGGCGTAAAACCATACTCACTTACTCACTTGGATCGCAATCAAATAGTGATGCTACCAGATGTTAGCGAAATGGGAGGTTTATCCCGCCCGAGCAGTGGCACCCGTCACAAACACATGCAAAGGCCTGATCAAGAAACATTTGTTCAGGATTCGTTTGACAATCTTTGCAGTATTCGTCGGAAGATTTTTGTCAAATGTAAACAAGTCCGACAAACCGTTAATTATGTACATTTTTTTCACCAAGCAGGAACAACTTATGATAAGTTGCAAATGAAGATGGGTTGGGTTGTCGAAACTTACCCCTTTCAGGAGATTCAGGAGTATGTTCCCATTTGTTGTTCCAGGCCACTTGTCGGGTAGCTTGAAAGACAACATACAGGTGAGTGAGTGAGTGAGTGAGTGAGTGAGTGAGTGAGTGAGTGAGTGAGTGAGTGAGTGAGTGAGTGAGTGAGTGAGTGAGTGAGTGAGTGAGTGTGAGTGAGTGAGTGAGTGAGTGAGTGAGTGAGTGAGCAATAAAGAAGCTGTTTGACGACGGTCTATTAACCATTGACTGAAAGCGTGGGCATGACAGGTTACCGAGCCAGACACCCAATCCACATCCCAGTTGTCCCATTCGCTGTCTTGCTGCGTGTTTAGGGTGCAAGGGCCCTGTGCAAGGATCACCTAAACCCTCTTTGTTGCAATTCTGTATTTCAATATGTAAGATATACTACTACTACTACTACTACTACTACTACTACTACTACTACTACAAACGTCATGTGTACAGTGACAAACAAAGGTAATGAGGGTGACATATGTGAGTGAATATGCTTGTTACATAGGTTTGTGAGGTGAACAGGTGCTGTGGAGGTCAAACTCCAGACTGTTCAACAAGAGTCATACCAATTTGTAGAGAAAGGTTTGTATGAAGCAATTTCACTTTTAAACATATCAATAATACACAAAAGCATAATTTGCGGGACGTTCATGACATTCCTCTTTACAATGAGGTGAGGATGTTGTTTTAAGATTCCACCATGTCAGTGGCTGTTAAAGACATTTTCCAAAGAGAAACATATCACCAATCGCATCTGAAAGGAGACCATAGTAAGGTGTATCTGTCAGATAGTCCCGTTACTACATTTGAGTGTTCAGTGTATTTACTACTGCATTAGCATTTCAAGTACTTACCATAGTGTGTATATTAGTTTCGGCAGAATCGCGTGGAACCTGAACGGCACAATCTTTTGTCCTAATGTTTAACTCACTATAACTGTGAGTCACCACAGCTAGGTTGGTGATAATAAACTTTATTTGGATTATGTATGGAGCTTCAGCTGCAAAACCAGATTTTTTTTAATGAGTCTCAATATGTTTTACTTAAAAAAACATCTCGCAGTAATGTAATTTTTATGGCAGTCAATGTCTTTGTCAGCAGTATGGGACATAAAATATAATATAATTCAAACTGAATTGGAGACAAGATATATTGTTCAAATAGCTGGAGATCCAATTGTGACACTGGCACAAAACGTTGTGGGATGTTGTGGGATTTTATGTTGTCAACAACCACAGGGAGAAATAGCGTCAACACCACAGCAACATCAAGGGACACAACTCCAACCAGCTTCAGTTGGTGATGTTGATCAGATAATAAGCCAGTCGCAGCTGCCCACAACTACATCCTGTGTAGTTCCTAACACAACCAGTCTACAGGACCCGACAAGAGCAGCCCAGATACCAGTGTCTACAACTACATCTTGTGTAGTTCCTAACAAAACCAGTCTACAGGTCCCGACAACAGCAGCCCTGACACCAGTGTCTACAACTACATCCTGTGTAGTTCCTAACACAACCAGTCTACAGGACCCGACAACAGCAGCCCAAACTAGCGTCCACAACTACATCTTGTGTAGTTCCTAACACAACCAGTCTACAGGACCCGACAACAGCA